GGGGGAGGTTTACCCCCCTCCCCTGCTTCCCATCACACTGGCCTGAGTATCTCCGAAGTCCAAAGCACTGCCTGATGCCCCAATACCACCAGCAGCAACCACAGACCAGCACCGTCAGGATGAGACTGGGGGCCAGGCTGCAGCCCAGGGTCCCTGCCCTCTCCCTGGAGGGCTTCAGTACCTGTGCAGGCACCGGCTCCTCTGGCACAGGATCCTCCTTGCGCTCTGCAGGAGCCTCTGTTGGGGGAGTTTTCTTCATTGACCTGGACAGGACAAGAGCATAAATCATTGCTAGGAGGAAGCCACATGTCCTGGCTGAAAGGGGTTCTCCAGAGTCCCTTGCTGCTAAAATATCCCCATAGAGAGTCTTAGAATCGTTTAGGTTGGAAAAGACCTTTAAGATCATCAAGTCCAACTGTTAACCTAGCACTGCCAAGTCCACCACTAAACCATGTCGCGAAGTGCAACATCTACATGTCTTTCAAATACCTCAAGTGTGGATGGTGACTCAATCACTTCCCTGGGCAGCCTGTTTCAATGCTTGACAACCCTTTTGGAGAAGACATTTTTCCTAATATCCAATCTAAACCTCCCTGGTGCAACTTGAGGCTGTTTTATCTACTGTCTGCCCTCCCCATCTGGCTCATGGTCTCCATCACCCAAAGGAAGCCCCCACCACTGCTTGTTCTTCCCCATGGGACAGGTTTGCAGGTACTGGCCCTGCAGCATCTCCCCTGCCCCAGTCCCTGTCCCCATCTCCCCTGGCTACTCACTTTTTCAGGTTGATCTCATTGTTCTTGGCCACCCCCAGGGCAGCATGGGCCCTCTGTGCCTTGTGTGGTGCCACTTTCACAGCCTCTTTCTTCCCCACCACCACCTGGTTCTTGTGAGCCTGTTTGGGTGAGAATGGAGGTATACAGAGGCGCACAGAGGGAAGCGAGGTGTGCCCTGCAGGCAGACCTCTCCTCCTGATGATGGGGCATGGGACACCCCCCACTCTGCATGCTGGAGGGGATACCCAGCCCCACTCTCATGGGGGGCTCACAGGGGGCACCAAAGCCCCCACCCCCACAGAAGCACTCACATTGGTGATGTCCCCAAACGCCGACCTCTTCTTGGGCCCACCCTGGGGTGAGGATGGAGACCTCTTGGCCTGACAGCTCTCTTCCTGCAATAGAGGCTGTTGGAAGATGGGGGGCCAACTGACCCACAGGAGCCCCCCAAGCCCCCTGCCCGGCTCAGAACTCACCCTCTCAGGGTTGGCATTAGCAGGGCCCACCTTGCCTGCTCGGGGCTGCTTGGTGCTCAGCATCTTGGCGTTGCGTGGCAACGGCATCCTCTCCCTTGGCCTCTACGAGCAAGCTGGGAGCAAAGCAGGGCTTGATGCGGGCAGCTGCCTGCCCCCAGGGACACCCTCAAGGGCTAGGGCAGAACCATGGGGCACTTGTCCCTCCTGGGGGGGTAGTGCAGCAGGGACAGACCCCAACCCCCTCCCTGAGCAGGCAGATGGTACCCTGAGGCAACCCCAGGGAGGGTGCAGGTCTGGCTAGGGGTGCGGGGAAGGG